ACAGTCCAGCTTTTCCACCTGCTGCTCTGCACACTTTCTTGAGGATCAGTCAGCAGATTGCAAGAGTACATTGAGCAGTACATTTTAAAAGTGTACCTTTTATGCCTTATGAAATCATTACCTCAAGAAAGTATTAAATATTATCTGTCCCAATCTCACATTCAGAGGAACCTGGCTTGAAAGCTCCTTTTATTTTGATAATTTCCCTGTAAGTGTAACACTTCCTGCTTAATCTGTTTCTTACATAAGATAGGAGATAAAATATGGAAGTTAACAGTTTCCAATCTTAATCTGACTACCGCTTTCCCATGCATCACTATGTCAAATTTGTTCAAATCTATACATATGAATCACCTGCAGTTTCTTTTGACTGGCCAATCATCCTTCCAGTCAATGAAAAGCATCAGGTCAGCTGGCACTACAAAAATATTCCAGCTTGAACTTTTGTGATAGCCTGCTTTTCAGCTTCTTCCGTTAATCCAAAAATTAACTTCCTGCAGCTGAAGATCTTGCATCTCACTGACCTCAAAGCAAACAATTCCATAGCACACTATTTGACTTGTCTTCCTATATTATTACAGGCTGAATAGAAAGTGATCACCAGCTTTATGTTGATATCTGTAATTGAAGAGCTACACCACTCCACCAAATCCATAATCTGTGTGATTCTATACACAGTTCTTTAATACCAGGAGGCTTTAACCAACACTGAAAAGCAAAGACATTAACTAAGTAGTTATTTAATGGGCATTTTTACAACAACAAACTGGAGAAGAGTCTGTCTGTAGATGAAATTGCTATTTCAGCAGTATAGCATCCTTTTCACATCACCTTTTATCCCTGTACCCATATCAGAACTGTATGCTTTAAAAATTTCAGGTGAAGAAACTGACTATTTCCCCAAGCATTTAGCTGACATTCTGAGCACTCTTGAGTTTCCTGCCTAGCTGATTTGCTTCATCTGTATAATCAAAAGCTGAAAGTGCCTGTATGATCCTGTAAAATAAAGCAGCCCAAACCACTCATCTTCTAAACTGTTAAAGGCAGTTCTAGCATTAACCAGAAATCTTTAAAATTATTCCCAGCCTGGATACAGTTCAGACACTAGCACAGGATGGGGACAATTATAAAATCTGCAGTTACCTAGTAGCTGGTAGCCTCATGTTTCTTAGAAAGTTTCAAAGTAGCACTGCAGGCTACTCCATGTCAATTACTTGGTATCGGTGCTCAGAAACATTCCTGGGCATGCCTAACTTATTTGTCTAAGTGTACATACACACAGCCTGGGCCTTCAGCTGAGGAAATCTTATACTGCAAATTAAAAACCAGATGTAAACAGATCTCTTCAGCCTTTAATGTAAACAGAACAAGAAATCAGTTTATAATTCCTTATTTCTCCTTCTCACTCTGGAAGCACAGGGATTAACAGACTGCACCAGGAAGAATTACTCTTTGCCACAGGAAGTTATAGCCCCAAATACACCCAAACCCCAAATACATTTATAGGTATTTTATCTAAGAAGCTATTCACAGACAAACTCACATTATGCAAATCTGTTTCTTTTCACGCCTTCAATTGGAATAATGAAATCATAGCATCAGTAAGGCTGGAAAACATTTTCAGGATCATGAAGTCTCTAACCTCAGCAACTAAATGTACACCAGAGACCTGACACTTCAATGTCTTAATGGCCCTGGCCAGTTTTTTTTTTCCTGGGGTCAGCTCCCACATTATAGCCCCCAGAGTCTACTTCATCTCAGCCCTGGGCTGCAGTCATAGAGGAGTACCAGCCCCCAGCTCTACCATACAAGCCATGGGTTCCAACCCTGACCTCCTGTCTGCCTTATCACCACAAACCCAGCAGGAAGTCTCAGCTGTTGCTTCAGCTTGTCTGTGAGCTCTGATCTGCCCTGCTTGCTTGATCCAGGTCCTCAGCTGGCCACACCATCACATTCAGTTTCCCACCCCCTAGGGAGCAGACAGCCCCTGCTGCTCACTGGAAGTGTTGCATGTGTAATTAATTTCTTGTTAAAGAACAGATTTTAATTTTTTTCCAATAATTCTTTTGAAGTTCTGTGACATACACATTAAGCATTTGACTTCACAAGGTCAAGGTAGCTACATCAGTCACATCGATCGGCTACATCAAAACACAGATTTTCAGCCTAGAAAAATGTTGCCACTGGAGTTCCTAGTAGTTGTTTTAGGGAAAAGTCTTATTTACTATTTCCACTCATGGCCTTTGCTGGAGGAGTAGTTATGTGCTAAAGACTTGGACTAGTGGCAGAGTTGACAAGGATACAAAGGAAAACAGGAATATGCTGGTGAAAAATAAAAAAGACAACCTGAAAAACTGGACTAGTACAAGCTGAATGAGATCTAACACAACCAAACAAGCATAGGAAGACAGAAGCTTCCCACATGAACTTCTACTATAAGCACACATCAGTTGAATATGAAAAAGGAGAGACCTTAATGGACTAATCCAGTGTCTGGTGGCTGCACAGCAATTTTATGAAATATCTCTTTAGAGTAAAAACATGAACAAAAGTAGCCTGACTCTCTTGTGACCAGAGTGCATTTGATGAATATCTACAATTCATTCTCCATCTGAATTAAAACATGAGACTGTTCCTCATTATAGCACTGATGATCTTATGCTACAGCCAGTTTGAGATGGTTTTTTGCCTCAAGAAAAACATTTAGCTCACTCCCCCCACTGATGGCATGACAGCACTAATCAAAACCACAGGCAAAGCACATACTTTATGAACAGTCATTGCTATGGCTTGTTTGAGAAACTGTAAGCTAGTCACTTTTCTATCCTGTCCTATGCTTAACTAAATGCAAATGTAAGAAAGGAAGTTTCAAGGCCAGCCTGAATTATTTTGTGTTTTCTGGTCAGGCCTTCCCCCCCCCCCCCCCCCCCCTTCATTTAGACATCAATAAAACAGTTGTGAATGCCTGACTTGTTCTATTTCCAGCAGGTGCACTCCAGACTCATTGCAAGGCTTTTCACTTCAAAAATGTTTTTTAACACAACATTGCTGTGTTACCATCTGCCTGAGTGACAAATCCCAGATAAACAGCTTCATTGGGACACTCTCTGTCCCTTTACATCCAATCTATGCTAAACTTCTAGGGGCAGTTTTAAGTATCTTCAGCCCAAAACCAAACACTACAGCTTGTACTGTATGGAACACATTGAAAAGTTACATTGGAATATACAGTATGAGAAGGCCAGTACAGAGAAAGGAAAGTGAAAAATAGATATGGCTTTGAGTATTTATTAAGAAGGACCAAAAAAACCCAGACAGCCTACAATCCAAGCCATGCTGCTTTTTCCATCTTACAATGGATATCATAAGCTGCAAGGCAGCAACAGGAATGAAAGTAGTGAGTCCTCTCCCTTGGAGGCAAGCTAGGAGTCTGAATGTTTTCTGTACTTCATAGCAAATGCTGAAAGAGCAAAGGTCCTTTACTGCCATCACCTGGCATAAATGAAACCAGAAAAAGAAACTTTTCAAGCAATACAGTCAAAACTCATTATAATGTGCTGTTACACAGATACAATGACAACACAGCCTGAGATTCTCATGAGAGTAGTCAGAGAAGCAGCAAAATTATAAAACAATGCCTCAAGAGAAATGCATATACCTTGATTCAACATCTGCACAATGAAACCAAGCATGATCTCTGCAAAACACAGACACCATTTCACACCTCAGAATGGCCAGGGCTTTCAGTCCTGGTGTACTCACAGAAGAATTAAACCTGAAGTTACCAAGTTGATAAGCAAAGAAAGCAAAACTCCAGAAGATTTATCATAATGAATGTCAGAACGGAAAGCAGAATGATCAGGTGTATCTGACACAAAGGCAGTGGTTCTGTAAAATCTCCATTTGTTGATTATGGTAAAAATTAGTTAAATATTATCACTATTTAGTTAAATATTATATTATTCTCTGTGTTCCAAACCATCACTAAAATACATGCAGGTGGTGTTTGGAGAGATTATTCAACAAAATGTTCTTATCTACAAACATATGCAATTTGTCAGTTCTTCAGTAAATCCCATACAGAAATATATCTTACAGCTTGGTGGGACATACATTGCTACAGCTGACACCAAGGAATGAAAGAGAGACCACAGTCACTGAATGCCCCTCATCCTCCACTGCATAATCATTCAGGATCAGGCTGAGCTGCTAAACATCGAAGATAGACTAAAAACCAATAAGAGCTTCCTTACTTTAACAGGCCACTCAAGCCATTTTTGGGTCAGAAATAAAGATTAATCAACCAACTTTGCATCACTTTTCAAAGATTTCTGTATCCACTTTTTTAACTCAATGCAGTGATTTAGTTCTAAAAAATATCCATTTGGTATATGGACCAGCTCTGTTGTTTGCTGTTCATATAAATCATTAAGGAGTTTTAAGACTCTCAAAGTAACCTCAAAGTAACATGGGGAAAAACATCCATAACTCTTTCAATTAGATGTGTGCTGTCAGGAGAGAAATATTTTCATAGCTTGATGTTCAATATATAGTCTTTTCTTATTCAATAAGGTAAAGAAAAATGACACTAAAAATGTTGATAATGCATTTCAAAGTCTGAGAGAATGAAAATTCAGAAAATTGAAAGAATAGAAAACTCAAAATATTGATTTAATACATTTCTCCATTTAAGTATGTATTAGCAAGGGAGGAAAGATGCATAATAACTGTCACTTTCATATTTCTTGAACACCTGGCAAAAGCTGTCAGCTGAGGCTTTGATTTTGAGCAATCAGTAAACAGGTTAGTACCTGTTTACTCCCAAGTTTACTGGATGCAATACTAGTTAAAAACCTGGGCGTAAAATTCCTTGGTATAGATATTTAGGGCTCTTTCATATGAGATACCTATTCCTAATATTTTTTGTCTCTTTTCAAATATAGTCAAAAAGAGAAGTGAAGAACAAAAAATAAAAATCAGAGCGAAACATGGAAGCTCAATTCAAGTTTTAATCAAATCCTTGTGCCCACTTTTTGAAAATAGTTTTTGGCTGTAACACCTATCCCAGATCAAAAGTAACAGACTTCACTGACAGAAAACCCAGTATAATAAAGATATTACATGAGAGAAACAACAATATGAAGCATAAGAATAGAAAAGGAGCTCTGTGAAGCTGGAGTGCAAATGGTTCATGCTCTACACAAAGAGGCCAGCTCATGGCAGCACCCCTGAAATGGCAGTCTTGTGAGAAGCTGTGCTACACTGAAACTCACTGCTTGCACACACAAATATTTACAAACGCACTTCTGAACATTTACTTGGGAAAAGCCATTCAACATTTTTGCCATGACCAACTATCAAATACAGGAATTTGTCCCAAAAGAGAATCTGCAGTGGAGACAAATTTTGAAAATAAACTAAGACACCATTAACAATTGTAATTGTAGTAATTGACATTATTATGAAAACCAGAAGAAGCAAAAACATTAGCATAACCACTAATTTTAGTTTTGCATGTATCACCTTAACTTATAAAATAAGCAAAGCACCTAAAGGAAGGATTTCAAAACGTGCTACAAACTGTATAAGCCCATATCCCACCAGAAGTCAGAGGTTTAAGAAGATTATTATGATAATTATATGATATTTATATAGCATTTTGTTCAAATTCCTGTTGGACCAACAGGATTAAATTTCCAGTCTTGGCTTTGTCACATATACACAGAAGCAAAGAACCATGGAACAATGCAGTACATTGGAAGATACTTCTGGAAATCATTTCACCCAAGCCCCTGTTCAAAGCAGAGTCACTTCTGAAGTTAGAGCAGGTTGCTCAGGGTCTTATCCAGCCAAGATTTGGAAAGCTCCAAGGGTGAGTATTCTGCATGCTCTGCAAGTAACATCTTTCACCTCTGGCAGGTCATTCAAACAATCTGACTACCATCTGTAAACTGGAGGAAGGACACTACCTTAACTTCAAGCAGGAAAAAATTCAGTGCCTATGACACATTTATTAGAGCTACATAAACACAATGTGTCTAATTGTCATTCTAATTTGAATCTCTCTCTACTAATATTTCATAACCTGGAAACAATTTGAAAAGGTTAAATATGGATATATGGATATCATATTTTCATAAGACAATTCTGTTTTAGAGATCCATTTTGGAAACAGAACAATATTCAAAATGATAGAAGAAACTGGAATCACGTGCTTTATGCACATCTAAAATACATTCTTATTTTTTTCATAAAGGTAACAAAAGCTTCTTGAGAGGAGCTGTCCATTACCTTGTTTTTACACAGCACACTGAAAAACAAGTATTTCCACTTTTCTGTCTTATTTCCGTTTCAGTTCAGGCCTTTTAGAGCTGCTATAAAACAAAGTTGTAATAGTATATTTTAATAAACCCATTCAGATTTTATAGGCAATTGTTTTTGCCAGAGTCACCCTCCCTCAATTCAGGCACTGCCAAGCAACAACTTCAGTCTAAAACATTTCCTGATACATTTTCTGTAGATGAAGTTAATAGCCCTGAGCCATTGCCTCAGGCCATCAACCCTCTCAATCAGTCATTAATCCCCTGAAATTGCCCAGAGCATCAATTGTTAGTGCTTAAACAGACTAAATTAGGTTTTGAACAAACAGAGCAAATGAAGGTCAATGTCAGGAAATAGAATTCAGTAAAAATTATAGAAAATTTTGGGAAGCATGTAATAGGTCTGGATCAGTTCAAGGGCTACAAGGACTTGATCACAAGATCTTCCCTGGTCACTGAGGAGAAGACCAGAAGAACAGAAAGTTTAACTTCAATGGTATTTAGGTCAGATGTTTAATGCTATAAAAGCTCTCACTTCTGTGACAGGGTCAGGCCATAAAAGATGACTGCAAAGTCAAAACAGTGAAAATAAAATACAGTTGCATAGTATTTTCAGTTATTGTGGAGTAGATAATGCATTTTAAACACACTATGTCACAGAATTCTACAAATACCAGGAATACTTCTTTCTAGACTTTCCAAAAAGAAAAAGTATTTGGGAGCTACCTTTATTACAGATTTTGTTTTCCTCTCCCCTCCCACCACACACACACACAAAGGAAAGCATATTGCTCTTTAATGTAACAAACTATATATATATATGAATCCTTGTAAAATTTGTTGTTTCTCCTTCCCCTCCAGCCCCATTAATTAGTCATCTCTATTGCCACTAAGCAGTTATATAATAATCAATATTCTAACCAAGGAACAAGAGTATTACTTGCCAGCTGTCTTTGCTTTAGCTTATTTTTCCAAATGGCATAGTCAGCTGACCATACCTGGCCCATAGAGGACTCCTGTAAAGGCTAATTCCCCCTCTACAAAACCAGTTGAGGTTGCACCATTAACACCATCTTCCCTTCCAGCTCCTCTGGGAATTTATACATGAGTGGACATTGCAGCAGCATATGGGCTAGCAAGGCTAAATGAACCAGAATCAGCTAAAACAGTACTAATATTTAACAACAAGAATGCATAAGCAGAGCACAACATTCATAAGCCTAAGCTAAACAAGACTTCCCTTGTTACAGACTGTATTATATACCTGTGCAGCTCTTACAGAGAGTAACAGAGTAGAACTGCAGCAACTGAGAAGCTGTCAACATTGATTATAAACTGGGGTTGCAGAAGTAAAAAATACAATATGTAACATCTGCAGGAAATGTCAATATCATCATTTTATAGTCCATTAAGTGAAATATGAAAGTTAGATAATGCCAAATAATTGGGTGAGCAAGGCTTAATGAGGCCTCAGGTTAGTTTCCATGTATGGACTGAAGTGACCAACAGGACAAAGAGAACATTTTCACCCAAATTCAGTTTTTCCCATGTATTTCAGAAATGCCATGCAAGTAAACTCCCTTGCTTTTGCATGGTCTCTGCTAGAGCTCCTACATATTGCTACTGTATCAATAAATTGGTGCATTACACAAGTAGAACCACTGACTACCACTACAAGGTAAGCACAGATTAAGCAGAAAGGATGTTAATTTTCTTTTAATCAACACATGATTTTTATAAATGATACCCACTTTCACAGCTTTCCAACGCAGCCTAACAGCACAGGAACTATGTGGGCATTGGTCACATGTGATCTATATTGCAAAAAAACAGCTCTTATTATCTTTTGTGAGTATCACAGACTGTGCCTGCCATGGAATCTGGCAGATAGGGTACTTTTATCCTCGTTTCCACTTTTGTCTCGGAAAAATAATTGCAGCAAATGGAGACCCTTAACCCATTCTGCCAATATATCCCAACATTTTTACTTCTTACTGAGTTATTTAGATCTTGGGAAGGTCATATACTTTGTTAAAAATCTATCATTGTCTGTTGGGTCTCTTATTGAGCTGGTATTGTGCACTAATGCACAGATACAGAAAATGATATTAAAAACTACATACACAGACATATCAAAATACTTTCATCTCCTTTGACTTCTATCTTATTCTGGACAATATGCTTATGACCAAAATCTGCAGCAGTTAAAATTCTCTTTTTGCTTTTTCTTTAAATTCTCTCTTTTTTTCTTTTATTTCTGTTGCAAATAAAGATTTGTCAAGGTAATCACTTTTACTCTGCTACTACTGCTTGCTAATTCAGATCAGATCAAGCTAAAAATATCTATGGTTCCCAGAGAAAATGAATAGCACACTGAGTAAACGTAAGCCAATGGTACAGATGACCAGCTCTTCATCTGTACCAAGGAAACAGGGATTAGCTGTTAAGTGACATGTACAGCCCAACTGGTCTCTGCCCTTCAGCAGTTTCTGGAGCAGTGTTAGTTAGCAAGTTGCAGTCAGAACTGGCTACTGTTTTGGGAAGCAGCCTCTGACATCAGCAAGAGCCACTACCCCAGCCCCTCCTGGCAGCATCAGCAAAACTTCTGCCTGGGTTCCTTACAGAAGCCTTATGGAAAGCTTCCATGTAGTCAGCAGTCACCCAGGAGAAACAAAGGCTGCAGCTGGGAGACACAAGCATTCTCCTGTGGTTATGCAAGTGCAGGTATAGTGGTTTTTTATGAAGGACACCGGAGAGGAACGGGCCTGCCTGAGAGCAAGACAAGGGAAACCATTCCTCAGTCTTTGAAGACCCTCTGAGCACTCCCAGCTCACCTTCCTTAACCAAGAGTCCTCACCAGCATTCTCTGGCCATCCACCATGACCCACCGGCCAGTTTAACATCTCAGCATAATGTCATGTTCTTCCAGCAGACCCTGAGAACCCATAGGAGTCTCTTCCTAGTCCTCCATGCCAACCTCCCAAAGCTTCCTCTTCTCCTCAGTCCCAAATTCTCTTTAAGTGAGAACATAATGGTTGCATTTCAATAAAACAGCATAAAATATACAGGGAAAAAAACTCAAAGAATTTGACAAGAAAAAAGCCTGCTATATTCTTGGTCTACCTTTGCAGTCCTGTCTAAGCACTTACTGTTGGCCATTCTTAGAGTCAGGAAACATATACAGTATTGGTCTGATGTGCTTTTACAGTCATGGTCAAAAACAATCAGTTAATTATCAAAATTTTTAACACCACTCATCTTTCTTTAGTAATTCTTTTCTCTGTCATTTTGCTTGGCATTGCAAGAACTACTGATCCTGTAAATTTGACTCCCAAAGTAGTTGCCATGGTAATCAAGGGGATCTTGCAAATTATTTATCCAGGTATTACAGATGTACATGTCACATAAGTAAACAAAAACTGAAGGAATTGATGACACTGAGTATCTACATTAATCTCTGAAGAAGCAATATGTACAGTTTTGTAAGTGCTTACTGAAAACAAATGGCTTTGAGTTCTCTTCTGTTTAGGTCCAGATAAAAAGAGTAGCTGTTGGTTTACTAAACTCGTGATAGAGGATCTCAAGTCTCCCGATTATATTCTCTTGCAAAACTTTCTACCAGTTTGAAAGTCTCCATCATTTTACAGTTTTTCTAATCCAGATGCAGAAAATTCCTCAGACATTCTCCAAATTAATACAGGGCAAGGGCAGTCATATTTGCCAATAGGGATTTATACCTCATTACTCAATATAGATTGCATGCAGATCATGAAGAGCTAAAGTAAACGCCTACATCCACTTTTTTGTATTTACTGACTTCTCTTTCTTCAAACTCCTGATTAGGTAGAGTTATCAGAAGGTTACATCACCTCTTCATTGCTTCAAAGGAGAGAGACCAATTAGAATCCCACCTACTGTATTTATTCCACCTACTGTATTTATAGCACCTCCACTTAACATTTTAGCTACTTAGGATTAGGTTCTCAGCTCAATGGCATCTCATCATACTTGTAAGATATTTCTATCATACAAAAGTTCTGCTAAAACTTTTTACTTACATTGGAAACAAAAGCTTTGCTATCAAAATTACTATTTGCTACATGCTTCTGTAGTTTAAGCTTCAAAACCCGTTGGTTACAGACTCAAAACTTCATTTTTTTGATTAAGGTTGTGTTTTGGTTTGGGTATTTTTAAACAAGTAATTAATTTGTGGTAGCCAATTTCAAAAGAAGAATGATTCATCTATCTTTTTTATAGATGCTCCTGCCAAGATTCAAAGCGAGATGTTAGAAGCGTAGGAACTTTGAAAACCAGGATACCTAATTAGGCATGAAAATGAGATTTGGGTACTATATGGCATGTATTTCAGTTCTGAAATCCTGGAAAGAAAATTCACTGGTATATCATCAAATTAGCTTCATATCAGGGTTCTACTTCATGATAATAATATTAAGGTTAAGATCTTCAGGAATATTTCTTTGAGAAGCATAAATGAGAGCAGTGGAAAAAAAAACCCACAGAGTTTACATTTTCTATTAGACCCATGTAAGCTGCTCTCACTTCAAAATTTTAGGATATTAATACCCAGAATTCTGTCTTAGCCTATCAAGTAAAGTTTCAAGTAATATGTCTCTACAATGAAAGGATACACACGCAGTGGATGTTGAAATTTATCGCTATTTCTTCACCTACACACACCATTTGGAATGCTTATAAATACAAAATCTATTTTGGATCCTTGAATATTTCTCCTCATCCTATTCAGACACTGTAGAATTATAAGAAAAACACAGACACAGATAGTCAGCACCATAAGTTTGGGTCTGTTTGCATGTTGGCTGATGACCTAATTCTTGAATTTATCCCCCAAAATCTAATGAAAGCACTACCTTACCCCAAGGAAAATGGCATTTGCTCTGTTGGATTTTTCACTTTTTTACCTTCCAACTACACTTACACAAATAAAGAATACCCCAAATCTGGAAAGGGGAAAAAACCCACAAACCCATCTGCCAGATCCCTACAAGGAATTTTTTTCTTCTCTTTACCTTCTC